TCACTGAGTCCAGCCTGGGACTGCCCCAGTGCCAGCCGGTGTCGTGGTTGTCATCTCTGGAGCTTGATATGGTTTTGTATATATTTCATTATTTTATTATTAATATTTCATTAAAGTAGTTTAGTTCCTTCTAAACTCATAAGTCTCTTTTTCCTCCTCTGCCCCTCTCTTTGAAGAGGGGTAGAGGGGAACATCTGTTGGTCCCATCTGGGGGTCCCCCAGGTCCCCAGTAGCCGATTTGTCGTGGCCTAAACCACGACACTTGGGAAGGAGGAAAGGAGTAAAGGGTAGGCGAAAGTAGCGAGAGAAATGCCAGAACAGGACTAAATGAGAAAAAAGGAAACATATTTAATTAGTGTTTTCTGTAAAACTTTACAAATGTACAGCATAGTGCAAAAACACAGTCTCAGCACATCACCTTCAAGTAAAATGAACAATGTAAAAAGCCAAGGAACACAAGCTTGCTTCTTCACAGGAGCGGCTCTCCAATACTGTTCCCGGAGGTTCCTCTCTCAGTGTCAAGCTCCAATCTCACGTTTATAGTCGAGCAAAAAGCCTAAAGAAAAACCCAAGAACCACCCGGAGTGGCTGCTCGCAGCCAGCGCAGTCTGCCGCTCGGCACCACAGAAACCGCTGCAGCCTGGGACAGCACTGTTGGCTGAGCTGCACCTTTGTCTACACGCAAAAGTAGCTCTCCTGAGACGGTTCGTTCTTCAACCCCACCTAGACAATCCAGTAAGACACCGAAGCGTATGTCTAACCTCAAGCACACAATAGGCTTCATGAAAATACGGGAAAGCTACTCCGGAGCTTGACGTTAAGCACGTGCTTAAATACCTTATTGGATCGATACATTCAGTGTTAACATTAAGGCAGTCTGGCGTGGGAAGGTTCAGAGGAGGATGCAAATCTCCAAGGGGGATAACATATGCTGTCAGGTGACAGAGACACCAGACAGTTTTCGATTACCCTTGAGAAAAGAAGCAAACAGAGCGCAACTCAATGACTTTCCCTTGCTGGAAACGACAAAGTACAGTGGCAAACGGGCTGATCCGGGTGAACTTTCTAAGCACAGAGCTGTCAAAAAGGAAAACCTCGTCCATGATACACTCAAGCACGCCATCTAAATACCAGGCCAATGGGGGCTGCCAGAATTTTCCCTTAGTCCTGAACACACAAACAGCGGCTGGCATCAATTCAGAAGCTCCCACAACCTCTCTTCCGCAAAGGCTGCGCCACCACGGCGGTGACAGAGCTCCCAGCGCACAGCGGTTAGCTGGGGAAAAGCGTGCTCAGGAGTGAGTGTTTCTGAACTGACACGTCTGTTCACGTACCGATAAATGGATGGAGGAAAGGGCTGAGACAGGAAGGTCCATTTAAAACATGCTCATCTTATTACGGAGAACTTGAGCCTGCCTTCCTCTGATTGATCGGCCACATTTTGGGGTGGAGGCTGCGTGACCATTCAAGATGCTCAGAAGTACGGTTTAGAACCAAGAATCGTCACGGCAATGAAAGCGGGCAGAGGAGTTCTTCAGATGATACCGGCACAGTTTATACCCCGTGTCTAAGCCCTGCCTGGGTCTGCCTTACTGCACTTGGGTAGCTTTCCTGAGGAAAAGCAACTCAATTAAGAGGATACTGAGATAAATAATACGTTCTCATTAGAACTACAGCATAAAAAACAAAGCTCTGCTTTGTTGAGAAACTCAGTTGTCAGAAACCCCATGGAGGAGGAAGCTGAATTCAACCTTTGGAGGCCGGTCTCAGGTGCACAAAGGACAGCAGAAAAGTTAGCGGGACGCAGTGGACTAACCCTTCTGCCTCTCTCCTACGCTGAGCAGCTGAGAGTCCTTCTAAAAAGGGGATCCAATCAAATGAACTGGTTCATCAGATTTCATACATCAATAAACCAACAGGGGAAATAGAACAGGTCAAGGCCAAGGAAAAAAAATCATTGGACTGGACACGGAATACTTCGCCAGCACCGAAACCCAGAGTACGCTCTCTCAGTCCTCTTTGCAAATGGAAAATTGTGTGTGCAGAAGAGTCAATCTCTGTTTCTTTTTTTACGTATGGGGTGCCCTGCCTTTATGTTAGAGAAAATAAATTGGGAAAAAACAAACCCAAAACAAACAACAAACCCTCTCAATTTGGCATGGGACATTCTGGGGTCTGTGAGGGTCTGTAGCTCCCATAGGAGCCAGAGACATATTCCTGGAGTGGTCACTCGGAAAACAATCTTCTGCACACTGCGAGGGATCTTCATTTTCCTACTCACCCCAGGAGGACAAGGGAGAGGCACAAGCACATCCCATGAAAAACAGAAAAAGGGTAATAGAATACTTTCAGAGCATTGGATTGGCATATAGAACTATTTTCCTATTTAAAAAACAGCATCCAGAAGGGTCAGGCATCTTAGCTAATCTGTGCTGCCCCGATAAAAATCCAGCAGTTTGACATTGCAGATACCAGTCAGGACCACTTTATTTTATGAAGTCCCTGATGTGCTTTCAAGCTACTCTTCACTTAAATTTTATTAGAAGATTTGAAATTTCTAACAGCATTTTCAAGAAAAAAAAAAAATAATCCTGCCAAGTTCTCACTCCCCATAGGAGCAAGCACCAGGAGCTGCATTTTGTCTTGGCGTTGTTATCCTGGACAAACACCGAAACCCAGGCGCAGGGAGCGTCCCCTAACAGCTACTGACCGTTTCCATCTACTCAGAAAGGAAGGGCACAAAAAGAAACTCTCTTGTGGGTTTCTGAGTCACTTTCGTTTCTTTACATTCAAACCTGTGGCTGCTTGGATGGGCGGGAGGGAGATGGTGTTTCTCGGAAGCTAAATCACTGGCTGTTGTCCGTTGAAGAGCTCAGGTTTAACGGGATATCCCCTTGGACACCCACAGAGGACAGGTAGGAAGCCATGTTTTCAGATGGAACATAAAGCGATGAACTTTCAGGCAAGCTGATGAGGTCGTTTCCAAAGATGGACTGACGATCCATGAGGAACGGCTGGGTGCTTTCAAGAATGACATTTTTCCCTAGAAATGCAAACGGACAACAGAAAACTCGGTTTCTGGAAGGCAAGTTACCAGACTTTATGTACGTAGAAATGAAAAGTGGCACATTCCCACGGCAACAGCAGGTGAGGGGCCTCACTCCAGGCAAAAAAAAAATAATGCTTGGAAACACCTGAGTCAAACTTGGACCCACTCGAAAGCCCGTTAAAATCGATGGGAATCTCTGCAGGTTGCCAAGCTGAGTGCTGCCCGAATGCTGAGATGCTTCACAAGAAGTGAAAGAGGGATGGCCGAATGGTTGGAGACAGAGAAGTCGATAAGAGCAGCTTTTCTCCTTCACTCAAGGACAGTCTGTTTTTCCTCATCTTTGCAGAAGGAGATTATCTACCAACTGCCCCATTCTTCTAGCGTCATGCCACCGCATGGACCAGAAAGGCTTTGCAAGCAGGAGATGCTTGTCTTGAGCAGTTCAGCCCCTGCCTGCAGAGGAATTCTCTCCAGCATAGTTGGGCTTTTAATGCCTCTGATGCTCCAGCAAGATGCTGAGCTCAAGGTGGAGACTGGAAGTCCTTGAGCTCTACACAATACATCAAAACTCTGAGGTGGGGTCAGGTGGCTACAGCACCAAACTAAGGCTCACAAAAGCTTCTCTTTCACATCTAGTCCAGCTGAATACACACGCAAATAATAATACATCACTATTCCAAAACCAGGAAAACACTTCTAGATTCATATCTATAGTCAATGACACACTTTATCAGAGTCAATGAGGGGGAGATCAGCTGGGCAGTCCCCTTGAGGTCTGGCAAAAGGTCTGGAGAAACTGAGACATAACCTTTGCCTCTGGCTGCTAGCAGCGAGCAGGTCACCGCCTCCGCAGCAGGAGCCAGAGGAAACACAGCACCCGTACAGCTCTTGCCACCCCCGCTTCACTTAGATCACCACGTCGCTCTTAGGTGGCGACAAACAGGCAGAGAAAACAGCGGAGCCACTGACAGACACAATGCGGACCCAAGCGGGAGCAGAGGCAGTTCCATTACGTTTAAACCTCAGTTTATCCCCCGTGCATTTCCCATCGCTCAGTAACTAGCTTAGCAGTTGTTGTGGGAACATTGCTGGCTGATACTCATGAAAGTGAAATAACAAACGTGTTTTGCTCCCTCAAAGTGGCAAACGGTCAGCGCCGGACATTGCATCGAGCTGCCAACATGATTAATACCTTAATTACATCCCCAGTGCCAAGATTGCAAGAGCTGCTGGTGCTCCTACCTGGGCAGGCGTTGTTAAACGGTGGGGTGAACGCTTTTGAGGACAGCTCAGTTGCATTCTTCTCCAGATCCACTGTGAGTCGCTGCATCTTGATGCAAAAATATAAACTACAATGTACAATTATACAAAGACAGGGGAGCTTGTTAGAACTAGGCCATTTCTGACATTCAGCGCTTCATCAACGCTGTACAACATCCACCAGAAACGCACGCTGTCGTCCCTGCCCTGCCGCTCCTCCCAGCCACGCTTTCTTAAAATAGCCAAAAGCGTGTGCCCGAGGGCAGACGTGCTGAAGGAGAGGGCTAAAGGAGACATAAGCCCCTAGCAGCACTGGCAAACACGGTGTGAAGCTTGTGTCACACGAGGAGGCCAGGCTGGCGTCTCTGGGGCTGTCCCTGCCCGGCTGCCACGCAAAGCAAACCCGCAGTGCTCTGCAGCCAGCAACAAATATGAAAGGAATCTTCTTTCCATTTGCCAATGAGTGCTTTTAAAGCAAAACTAGCTGTTGCTTGCACAGCGCTTCTAGGCGCGGAGTTGCTGCAGGTAATTAAGGCTTCTCTCTGCTCGTGAGTTTCCGTAGGATGAGCGAGCCTAAGGGTAGGCTGCACCGCTCGCTGGGAAATTCAGCGGACTCGAGGACTCAGCTACTGAACATTGCAGCCTCCCTCTTGGCCTTTTCTCTCCCGCAATGCTTTTGCAAAGAGACCGCCCCTTGCTTCCAAGACTTGCTAATATTATCTGTCTCTTCAGAGACTCTCCTTCCTCACGCTCAGGAAGGGGAATTACCTAGTAAAGTCAGAATTATTAAATCAAAACCTAAAACGGATAGTGATATCACGAGGAAGGCTTAGAAACCTTTTGCACTTCATTACAATAGATTACACTTCGCTTGCACGTCTGTGGAGACGGCAGAACCATTCAAGTCTCTTTCCGACCTGGCTGGCAGTGAGGAATCTGAAAATTCACCCTCTATCGAGCAGGAAAAACACCCCAGTCATGAAAGTCGCTTTTCCTTCACTGTTTATTAAATCACCATATGCAGTTCAGAAATGTCTCTGTCAATGTCAATTCCCAACAAATACTGACAAACTGAATTTCTCCTCCTTTCTTCTGTATGGGTATGCATGAACCTCTATTCTAATTGCATGTGGTTTCAGGGACGGCTGCACTTTATAAAGGCATATTTTATAAAGGGCTTTGGCACAAAGACACTTGACGAATCTCTGGTGTTAGTCGGAAGTGACATTCACACCAAGAGAAGGTTTGGAGCGGCCAGTTTCAATCAGTGACTCCGGGACATCAGCACGTCTCGAAACAAGCTCTGGCTGCGTGGGAGAGACAGACCACGAGTATGAGATAACACTCTCAGCCTGCCCTCAGGAGATGCTTCCTTGCTCTGCTTTACCACGCTATTCCCTCTGGCTAGAAAATAACTAAGCGTTCTTCAGTTATGCACAAGCTCTGCTTCATAATTACATTATTATTATTATTATCATATTGCAGAAATGAATGTCTCTTACCGGGGACAGACTGGCTTCCATTTCAGTCAAATTCCACTCACTCAAAGATAAATTAGGATTAAAGACCTGTTGGGAAGCAAATACAATTAGGGCTCCGGAAGGTATGATAGTTGGAGATGCTCAGCTGTCTGCGGGCAGAGATGGCAGGAGGCAGCGCCCGGCTGTGCCGCAGCGGGCTCGCCCAAT